CAATGCCAACATCTCGCAGTGGGGAGCAGGAACTCCTCAAGGCAGCAGCCGCGAAGGTGACCGAGGAGCTTGCCCTTCCCTTCAGCCCCGCCTGGAGCTCGGACGAGCTGAAGCAGATCATCAAGGAGAGCCTGTTCCCACAGAGCGAGACAGAGGCGCAGAAGGCAGCGAAGGGCATCAGCTCCACGAAGAAGGCCGAGGGGATCGAGAAGGCGACCGAGCTCAGGGCCCACATCACGCCGAACATGACGAGCGACTCGCTCAAGGTAGCGATCCGCAAGGCAGTCCTCCAGAAGACCACGCCGGAACCGACCGTTTACATGGGGTTCGGGAGGCACGGCGCCATGACCTACCAGCAGGTCCCGAGCCGGTACCCGTCCTATGCCGAGTGGGCCAAGAAGGAGGCGAACGCCGAGAGCAGCTGGGACCTCATCAGGTTTGTCTCGTGGCTCAACGGAACGGGGTTTGTCCAACCGAAGAAGCAAATGGCCAGTGACTACGCGAATGTCCCGGTGGAGCCGACCAAGGCTCGAGGGGACGCGAGGTCATCTCGCCGAAGGACGGTGGACGCTCTGATGGAGGACGAGCTTGCGGAGGAGGAGAAGCAGGCAGCGGATCTGGAGAAGAAGCAGGCTAACCGCCGCGTCCAGGAGACGCCATCAACGCTGGGCCAGCTCAACTAGCGGCTGGAGAGGCTCGAGGGGCAGCCGAGGGCACCGAGCACGACCGACGGGACACCGAGGGCACCGAGGCACCGAGCAGCCGAGGGCACCGAGCACTGGGCAGCCGAGGGCACCGAGGCACCGAGCAGTGGGTTCCAGTCAAGACGGCCTGGACGGGGTCTGAACTACTACACGAAGCAGCTGGACCCGAGGAAGCAGCGCTGGCTCGCGAAGTGCATCAAGAAGAACAATCACACCGAGGACCTCGAGGCACAACTCGCCCATGGAGGGGACAAGCTAATGGAGGCGGCCTGAAGTCCTGCCTCCATCCTGAACACGAAGATGGCCGAGAAGTGCGGCGAGGACGCAGTCCGACGCGCCAGCTCCTGGATCGGGCACAAGCTTGGGACCCCAGCTGGGAACCAGAATTCCAGAGAGACGCGCGACGAATCGGAGACGGCCACCTCTGGATCAGCACGAAATGTGGACTGCCCTCGACGCTCACCCTCGGCTTCAACGGCTCCAACCCGGTGAGAGCTGAGGCCACCAGGAAGGGCAGACTCCAAGCGATCAAGGAGTACAAGGGTGCGGAGCAGCTAGTGCACGATCAGGCGGCACAGGGCAAGCACGCGCACTGGGAGCGGCCCATCAAGTATGAAGGATGGGGCCACGCCATGATCCGGCAGATGGTGGAGGACTGCGCGATGACCGCGGTTAGGGTGGCCGGGCGCCAGCTCGGGGTGAAGAACGAGAAGGGCGACCCTCTTCTGAAGAAGCGGCTGATCGCCACGACGTCCCCAAAGACGGCGGCGAGCATGGCCGCGGAGTGTCCAGGTGGTCATCGGCACGGCGGGCTCACAGGAGACGGACTCACCGCATCCACAAGCTACTACACAGCGGAGTTTGCGAAGAGGGCGGCGCGAACCACGATCGAAGAGAGCGCCCCGGACTACCACGAATTCATGATGAACATGACCGAGGCCGCGGCGCAGGAGGAGCAGGCCCTGACCGCTGGAAAAGCGAGGACCTTCATGGACGCAGATCCGAGTTCCGAGGAGTACCAGCAGATCACGCGGCGGCTCACCTGTGCACAGGGGATCGGGACATAGTTCGAAAGCCCCCATGCTGAACGCGATCCGGAGGAAGGGGGTGAGCCCCCAGGTCCTACACGTGGCGGAGGATTTCCAGTGCGACGCCTGCGCCGAGGCGAACCATCACCGCCCGACGCACCCGCCAGCCGCGGAATATTTCGACTCCGACTCTATCGGAAACGAGACGATCCCGGGGCAGGCCCACCTGCACATCTCCCTCGCGGAGGAGGCCATCCAGGCCGCGAAGGGGACGATGGACAAGCTCGTGGCGGAGAACCCGGAGCCGACCACCGAAGAGGCTCTGGCTCAGGCTACTGCTCGAGGAGGACGTTCGCGGCCACTCCCCGCTCCAGCACGCGCAGAGTAGGGCGCCAGACCTCGAGGGCCACTTCTTTGAGGGCGACTTCCCTGCGTGGAGGCCCAGCGGGCTGACAAGGAGTACGACGAGAACTAGAACTACGCGAGGATGCATGCTGCAGAGCAGGAGTACCTGGGGCAGGTCTACCTGCGACGGATCAGCCAGGCGGAGAACGCGAAGAACCAGGCGCTGAAGGCCGCGGCCCCTGCACGTGGGCGCGCTTCTTTCGCAACGAGAAGGGCGAGACCAAGGGCCGGTTCAAGGTCCTCGCGCGGGTACTCGCCGCGGAGACCAGCCGCCCGGTGGACGGCTACCTCGGCGAAGACCAGACCTTACATCCAGGTCGGGCTGGGCCCGTGAGCAGCGTCTGCGCGCGAGATTGCCTACACGGAGCTCATGGGCGGCAAGGACACCCCGTGGACGGCGTACACCTTCATGAACCAGGCGATGGGGCAGGAGCATCTAGACTTCTCAGGCCACGACCCCACTGACCATGACGAGGAGTTGGCTTCCTGGGAAGGAGTGCCGGAGCCAGCACCACCACTGCAGAAAGCACGCCATGGGGAGCCTCCAAGCGAGTCGCCGAGGGGCCCACCTCCGCGGAAGTCGATCCGAGAGAAAGGGAAGCATCCAGGCGGCACCTCAGATGGAGCGAAGGCCGCGAGAACTGCAGCAGCTGAGGAGACCACGAAGGAGAGAGCTGCGCTCATGGCCTCATGGCCAAGGCCCCACCAAATGCCCGGTCTTTCGGGGCAAGGCAGGGCACGTCGCTGGAGGCGCCGGTGGAGATGCCCCTCGCAGGTAAGGCCTTGAAGCAGGCCACGAGGCACATGAGCACCTACATGGCGAGCCAGCTGCGGAAGGGCAAGCGAGAGATCTCGGAGAGGGCCCTCCCCCTGGACGAGGTGAAAAAGGTCAGCGTCGCGGCGGCCACCGAAGTGAACTACTACGTCATCTCATGTGTTCTGGAATCCCTACCACCAGGAGTCACTCCGCAACCAGAGGACGCCATGCGCATGCGGTGGATCCTGGAATGGAAGATTGACGAGACCACAAGCGAAAGGAAGCCAAAGGCCAGGATCGTGGTCCTAGGCTACATGGACCCAGAGTACGAACACCACCCGACGACAGCACCCACCATGACACGGACGTCTCGACATCTGGTGCTGCAGGTGATGTCCTGGCTCGGCTTCAAGGGGTTCAAGGCAGACGTGACAGGGGCCTTCACGCAGAACTGGGGGATCCAGCAAGACCTCCTCGCGATGCCAGTCAAGGAGCTCGCCACCGCCCTTGGGGTGTCCAACGGCACCGCGTGAGGCTGCGGAAGGCCGTGTACGGGTTCGTGGAGACCACCATCGGGTGGCTCATGACGGTCAGCGAGGCTCTTGAGTTCGGCTGGACCCAAATGAAGATGGACCCGTGCGTCTGGGATTTGGACGGCGATGCCCGTGGCCAGGACAGCAGCTTCACCACGGAGGCGCTGCAGGACTTCCTGGACCCCGGGAGACTAGACATGCTGGTCGCGGCGACGGGCAACCTCGACATCATAGCCATTACCAGCTCGCACGTGGACGACTCCCTGACTGGGGGAAAGAATCTGACCCACGATGTATGAAAGCACGTAAGACGATCGAGGAGCGCTTCAAGTGGAAGACCTGAGAAACGGACAAATTCATGCAGACCGGCGTCCGGATCATGCAGCAGGCCGACAAGAGCTCCCGCATGAACCAAAGCGACTACATCAAGACCATCGAGAAGACAGTCCTGTCCCCCGAGCGCAAGAAGAACAAGGACGCGCCGACCACCGACAAGGAGAAGGGACAGCTCAGGGCGATCCTCGGCGAAGTTGGATGGCGCTCCGAACACTCAGGACCAATGCACTCAGCCGACACAAGCCTATCGCGCAGTACGATTCCATCATCCACGGCGCAGACCATCCAATGAGAGGAACACCCTTGTCGACCGTGTGCGAGAATGCGCTGGCCTCCCAATCGTGATCCTGAGCCGTTCCCAGATACAGGTGCTCGTGCCGATCGAGTGGTCCGACTCCTCGGAGTCTAGCCGGCCAGACGGGAAGTCCACCAAGGGCCTGGTTTGTTGGATGGCCCCGCTGAAGATCCTCCAAAGCGACGAGCATGATATCATGGAAATCGGGTAAGATCGATCGTGGATGCCGCAGCTCCGGCGCTGGCGGCCGCCAGCAGCGCCCACGGCGGGGACGCAGCGACGATGACCAGAGGCAGCTCAGGGGGGGGTTCAACCCCCCCCCTGACGCCGGGGGGGGGGGGTTCAAACACCCCCCCCCTCGCGCCGGCGCCGGCGCTGGCGGCGGCCAGCGGCGCCTGCGCTGGCGCCGGCGACGGCGGGGACGCAGCGACACTTCCTAACACTACCACCACCACCACTACCACCACCACCACCGCCTCAACCCACCACTACCACCACCACCACCAGCACCACACAACCACCACGACCACCACAGCCACCACCACCACCACCACAACCACCACAACACACCAGCACCACCACCACCACCACAAAAACCACCACCACTACCACCACCACCAATCTACCACACCACCACCACCACCGCCACAACCACCACCACTACCAGCAGCACAACCCACCACCACCACCAACCACCACACCACCATCACCACCACCACCACAAACCACCGCCGTCCTCGTCGACGCTCCCCGCCACCGCCGCCCGCCGCCGCAGGCGCTGGCGCCGGCCCCGAAATGGAAATCGTCGTCCCCGCCGCCGTCGCCAGCCGCCGCCAACACAAGCGCCGGCCCGAGGAGAGGGGACGCAGAAGAGGGAGGGGGGGGGGGGGTCGAAACTGGCTAGAGGTCCTTGGCAACAACATCGACTGGCGGAACCCAAAGGAGACCCTTTCCAGGCTGCCAGCCGCCGTGATTGTGGACGCCAAGGGCCTCTACGACAAACACCAGACGACCGTGTACAACTTCTGGGGCAAAGAAAAGCGGACCGACGCGGAGGCGACGACCCTGAAGGAAGGGACGACAGCCGCCAACAACTGGTACTCTGGGTGCATGGCGACGCCCAGCTGGCGAACTCGCTGACGAAGGGCCACGAGCCAGGTCAGCTGAGGATGCACTACAGGAGTAGCCACAGGTGGAAGCTAGTCTATGACGCCAAGTACCAGAGTGCCAGGAAGCGGAAGGCGGCCGGCATACTCCCTTCTGAGCATGTGCCTGCAGGAGTGCTACGCGAGACGAGTTCAGATGCATCGGGAGGGCTACTCACAGCCTCATCAGGAGCAGCTCAGCACGAGGTAGCCTTTCCCGACTATGAGGCCACATCATGTGACAGCAGTTCGGATGAAGATCAGGACTGAAATATGCCCAGCTTAGAGGACCCTTATCCGTGCAGATTTCCCTAGTGACAAGCCTGAGCATTTCATGTGAGGTGAGCGTGCATTTGCTGTGTATGCCCGTTGTCGTTTCTCTCTCGAGCGAGCGCCCCCTCGCTTGTGCTCAGGGCACACGTTCTTGACTTCGAGGTTCCTGGAGAGGAGCCCGATCTGACGCAGATCAGTTGTGCTGTGAGAAGGTTGCAAATCGCTGCCGCTGCGCGACACCCGCCTACACTTGCACTATGGGGCCACGAACCACTGTACTAGGTAGGGAATATGGAAACACGTTTGAAATTGAAAAAAGTTCGAGCCAAGTTTCGCAAATGACTTGACGAAATCTGAAAAATCTAAACCGACTCGGGAGTTCACAAACAATGCACACGCGCTCCAAGGAGTCAAAACTTATTAGCCGCAAAATAATATCAAAACTGCTTCCAAACTTCTCGGGTCCAACAACGTTGAACTTGAAAGTTATAAAAGTTTCGATCATGTTAGCATAAGACCCGTTCGAGCCCCCTCAGCCAATTACAAGCCTGGGCACCCCTTGGAAGAGGGCCCCACACCTCTTAGAAGGCGCGGTGCGCATATTCTGATCAGGCCTGCCGTTCCAGAAACACCCTTGCCTTCCCGCCCCCTCACCCCGACTCCCTCGAACGTCCGACGTCACGACCCAGACGTCCGACGTCCATGACTCCATCCCCAGGACGGCGTTTTCGTCGTGTTTCCCTGACCCTGGGGCCCGAAGCGGGCCCCCTGAGGCCGAAAAGCGTTGAAGAACCGGCCATCACGACCCCTTCGCCGCGCGCGCCTTGCCCTCCAGCTTCTCGGCGGACCCCCCGGCCAGGAACCCAGCGCTGGAGGCGGTGCCAGGCGTCACCCTCTCAACGTCCTGCGCCTGCCACTTGCCCGGGTTTCTCGGGTCCTGGGTGCGCCGCGGGGGTGGTCGACTTCCCAACACGGGAAACGATCGACCGTGCTCGGGAAACCCCAACCTGGGAAACGCTCCGCCGTACCCAGGAAAGGCTCCATCGTGCCCAACCAAGGAGGTGCCGAAGCAAGGAAAAAACGCTGCAGCTAAGAAGGGACGAAAGGCCGCCGCGTCCTTCACCCTCCGACTCCTCTCCTGGCGCCACCTGATCCTCCACCTCCTCCTCCTCCTCCTCCTCCTCCTCCTCCTCTCCTCCTCCTCCTCCTCCTCCTCCTCCTCCTCCTCCTCCTCCTCCTCCTCCTCCTCCTCCTCCTCCTCCTCCTCCTCCTCCTCCTCCTCCTCCCTCCTCCTCCTCTCCTCCTCCTCCTCCTCCTCCTCCTCCTCCTCCTCCTCCTCCTCCTCCTCCTCCTCCTCCTCCTCCTCTTCCTCCTCTTATTATTAGGATTACGTTTACTATTATTATGATTACTACTTTATTTTTCATCGTATGATTATTCGTCTTGCTACTCTTACTAGTATTATTCATGGTAGTATTATTATTAGTATTGGCAAACCTCTTATTAGTATTAGCATCTTATCATTCGTAATAATATTCTAATAACTATGATTAGTGGTCGTATTCTTATTGGTCGTATTATCACTCTTATTGTCATCCGCATTACTATTACTAAGATTAGTCTTAGTATTATTGGTATACTTCGTAGTATTCGTATTGTTCCGATGGTTATTAGTACTATGACTGTTCTGATTGTTCTGATTCGTAGTATTAGATTAATGAGATTACGATTCGTGGTATTAGTACTGTCATGTTTTTAATATTATGATTGCTACGATTGTTTTTCTTATTGTCAACATTGTTCCCCACGTCAAAAGTGGGGTTATTGTTTTCTCTGGACACCCCGCGCAGGAACCAGAACCAGAACACACCTACATCATCACCCACTCATCACTCATCATCATCACCATCAGCATGATCAGCAATACCATCATCATTCTCATGATCATCATCACCACCATCGTCACCATCACCATCGGTCATCATCACTCGACCACTGATCATCATCATTATCATCATCATCAGCAGCAACAGCACCATCATTCATCATCACCATCATCAGCACCATCACCATCACACTCACTCACACACACCATCTTGACCATCATCATCATCATTAACATCACCATCATCACTCGATCACTTACTCACCCACTCACTCATCATCATCAGCATTCACTCACTCACTCACTCACTCACTCACTCACTCACTCACTATATTTCGCTCATGTCATGGCTTCGTCATCCTCACTCCCTAGCTTGAATTTGGAGGATGCATCAAGCGGGAGCCTCGTCTGTGAGTGAATTATGAGGACGTCTCAGGCGGGAGCCCCCTCCCCATGGGTCCCGCATTTCATGTTTGTAATCCGAGCAAGTCATCTAATTTCTGTAACTGTCTGCACTTTTGGGCCCCTCGGGCCTGAATTTGAAGGACGTATCAAGCGGGAGCCTCGTCTGCGAGTGAAGTGCGAGGAAGTCTCAAGCGGGAGCCCCCTCCCTACGGGTCTCGCACTTCACGTTGGTAATCCGAGCGGGTCATCCAATTCCTGTAACCGTCGTCACTTTTGGGCTCCTCAGGCCTGAATTTGGAGGAAGTATCAAGCGGGAGCCTCGTCTGTGAGAAAATTATGAGGAAGTCTCAGGCGGGCGCCCCCTCCCTATGGGTCCCGCACTTCATGTTGGCAATGCGAGCGGGTCATCGAATTCTTGTAACCGTCGTCCCTTTTGGGCTTGCGTGCCCGAAAAGGTGACACAGAAGTGCGGGCAGCCTCGTCTGAGCTTGTCGTCGGCAGAGTTGTTGTTGTCATGGGCCTGCGTGCCCGACATGGAGACTGAGGAGCTGACGACGACGACGACGACGGGACAGCGGCCGGGCGCAGGGGTAGCTCCTTGTGTCCGGGCCGGGGGTGGTAACCCATCCTCGGCCGAATCGGGGGCAGGGGTAACCCCTTGTCTCTGGGCCGCCGGTGGTAACCCATCGGCGGCCGAATCGGGCGCAGGGGTAGCCCTTTGCGTCCGGGCCGGGGGTGGTAACCCATCCTCGGCCGAATCGGGGGCAGGGGTAACCCCTTGTCTCTGGGCCGCCGGTGGTAACCCATCGGCGGCCGAATCGGGCGCAGGGGTAGCCCTTTGCGTCCGGGCCGGGGGTGGTAACCCATCCTCGGCCGAATCGGGGGCAGGGGTAACCCCTTGTCTCTGGGCCGCCGGTGGTAACCCATCGGCGGCCGAATCGGGCGCAGGGGTAGCCCTTTGCGTCCGGGCCGGGGGTGGTAGCCCATCCTCGGCCGAATCGGGGGCAGGGGTAACCCCTTGTCCCCGGGCCGCCGGTGGTAACCCATCGGCGGCCGAATCGGGCACAGGAGGAGGAGGAGGAGGAGGAGGAAGATGAGGAGGAGGAGGAGGAGGAGGAGGAGGAAAAGGAGGAGGAGGAGGAGGCGTGTTTCCTTTGGGTCGTGTTTTTGCACGTATCCACTGGGACGCGGAGGGAATACGATGATGGTGATGATGATGAGGATGATGAGGAGGAGGAGGAGGAGGAGCAGGAAGAGGAGGAAAAGGAGGAGGAGGAGGAGGAAGAGGAGGATGAGGAGGAGGAACAGGAAAAGGATGAGGAGGCGTGTTTCCTTCGGGTCGCGCTTCGGCACGTATCCACTGGGGCGCGGACGGATGATGATGATGATGATGCTGCTGCTGCCGCTGAGGATGATTATGATGATGGTGGTGATGATGATGTTGATGTTGGTGCTGTTGATGATGATGTTGATGACGCGCATGATGATGATGTTGCTGAAGATGATGATGACGATGATGATGATGATGATGATGATGACGACGACGATGAAGACGATGATGATGATGAGGAGGAGGAGGAGGGGGAGGAGGGCGAGGAGGAGGAGAGGGAACAGGAGGTGGAAGAGGAGGAGGAGGAAGAGGAGGCGGAGAAAGGGTGGGTCGTGTAATGTCCTCCGGGCTGCACGTATCCATTGGAGGTAGGAAGGAGGAGGAGGAGGAGGAGGTGGAGGAGGAGGAGGAGGAGGAGCAACAGCCGCAGCAGAGGAGAGTCGTAATTACTCAGAGATCCGACGTCGAGAAGAGGTTGAGGTGGCTCTGGGAGCACGTCCGCGCTCTGGTCATCGAGGAGGTGAGCATGGTGGCGGCAGCTCTGCACAACGCGCTGGACCATCGCGCCTGCCATGCATGCAGTGACACGCACGACGCGCAGGAGTCCACCTACAAGCGGCCGCACCACCACTTCGGGCGCGTCCCCATCGTGCTGCACCTCGGCGATTTCCTGCAGTTGAAGCCCACCGGCAGCATCGGCCTCCTGACGGACGTGAACGAACGCCTGGAGGACGGACGCACGCACAAGCACGCGGAGCCGCCAACGGTGGAGATTCAGCACGCCATCAAGGTCTTCTCTCATATCCCCTGCGTCTTCGAACTGAAGGGCACGAAGCGCTTCGAGCCCGGGGACCCTCTGATCACGCTCCTTGGCTGCACGCCCGAGGGCAAGCCCTTCCCACCGGAGGTCTGGTCCGCCTGGGAGAAGACGTTGGCGTCGGACAGCCGCGGCCTCCTCGACCCTCGGCACCAGCACGAGAACTTTCGGCTCGGCTACGGCATGGGCATATACTGGGAGACGCTGGTGAGGTGCATCAACGCGGGCGCTCGTCGCGACGCGCGGCGCCTGGGCGTGCCCCTCGTTTTCTTGTAGGCCGTTGACGAGTGCAGCACGATTCAAGGCGATCCCGACGCGGGTCGGCGCCTCCTGATCGTCCCGAACATGCACAAGACGGGGGACATCCACGGCGTTTTGCCGGCCCACGTCGGCATGGAGGTGCGATTCACGGCAGTGCAGGAGGAGCTGAAGAAGAAGTTGGGGCTCGTGCAGGAGCAACGGGCCACCATCGCGTCCTTCGAGTTCCACCGCGAAGACGAGCGGGACTACGAGGAGTGCGCGCAGGGCCAGCTCTTTCGCCCCCGCTACCTACCGAATGGAATCTGGCTGCAGGTCCACGGCTTCAAGGAGCCCCCGATCTACAGGGAGGTCGCCGAGCTGCTGCTGCCGGGCGCCGAAGGCGCCGTTGAACGCCGCGAGGCCGCGGCGCGGGCTCGGAGCTTGCTGATGTTCAGGCCCAGCGAGCAGGAGCTCATGTTGCAGAGCTCGGGGCCGCACTCCGTGCGCCGCTCGGGGTTCACTCTGACTCACGCGTCCTACCTCACTTCCACGCTGTCGCAGGGCCAGACGCTGCGCAAGGGCGTCACCATCGACTGCGCGTGGGACGAGGACGCTGGCCGCACGGGCATGTCGGACGACCAGTGGTGGCTGCACCTCTACGTCATGCTATCCCGCGCCACGTGCATGCGGAACATGCTGATCCTGCGGCCGCCCCCGCGCGACCTCCTGGAGCGAGGGCCGCCGGCGTCCTTGCGGAAGGCGCTCAAGGAGTTCGATGAGAAAGCGAAGACCTCAAAGGATGAGGCCGAGCAGCTAGCCGCGGAGCTTGGCTTCGTGCTGCCTCCCGCCTGAGCGCCGCGGCGCGCAGCTTGAGGCCCGCGGGGTTGTCCCGACGGTCTGGCCCGCGGGGTTGTCCCGACGGCCCAGCGGCCCGCGGGATTGTCCCAAAGGCATGGCCCGCGGGGTCGCCCCACAGGTTTCGCGATCTAGCCGTCGGCGAACGCGCGCGTGCTGGCCGAGGCGGCGACGGCGCCGAAGAAAATCAACTTGCTTGCCCCGACCAGGGAAAAAGGGAACTGCACATAGAGAAGCGGCAGGAGGAACATGAGGAGGGGGGAAGGGGTGGGGGGAGGGCGATGATGAGGAGGAGGTGGGGAAGGAGGAGGAGGAGGAGGAGTAGAAGAATGGGGAGGGGGATAAATATAAGAAGGAAGAAAAGAGGGCAGAGGAGAGGGCGAGAGGAGGGTGTTTGCCATGGCC